GCCTATCCATGTCTCCCTTGTCAAATACCAGATGACTATAAGTATATATGGCTCTATTTCTGGGTTGTCTAGGCTGTTCCACTGATCTTCGGGCCTGTTTTTGTGCTAGTACCAAGCTGTTATTAAAGCTCTGAAGTAGAGCTTGAGGTCTGAGATTGTGATACCACAAGCATTGCTGTGCTTTTTCTTTTTTCCTTTTTTTGCCTAAAATTGCTTTGGCTATTTGAAATCTCCTTGTTCCATATTAAATTTTGGATTGTTTTTTCTTATCTCAGTAATTGTCTCTATCTCATTGGGATTTTGATGGGGATTGCATTGACTTTGTAGCTTACCTTTGGCACTATGGTCATTTTCTTTCTTTATTTTATTTTTTGGGTCCAGACGTGGGGCCTGAACTCTGGGCCTGGGCCCTGTCCCACAGCTCCTCAGCTTAAGGCTAGTGCTCTACCACTTGAGCAACAGCGCCACTTCTGGCTTTTTTCTTTTAGCTTATGTGGTGCTGAGGAATCAAACCCAGGCCCTCATGCATGCAAAGCGAGCGCTCTACCACTGAGCCACCTTTGCAGCCCAGTGTGGCAATTTTCATGACATTAATCCTACCTATCCACGATCGTAAGAGGTCTTTCCATTTCTTAATATCTTCTTTGATTTCTTTTTTTTTGGGGGGGGTCTGGTCATGGGCACTGTCCCTCAGCTCTTCAGCTCAAGGCTAGCGCTCTACCACTTAAGCCACAGCGCCACTTCCGGCTTTTTTCTTTTTGCTTTTGTGGTGCTGAGGAATCGAACCCAGGGCCTCAGGCATGCAAGGCAAGCGCTCTACCACTGAGCCACCTTCCCAGCCCCTTCTTTGATTTCTTGAGATTTTTGTAGTTTGGCTTCCTTGGTTATATTTATTCCTAGTTTATGGTTTTTTTTTGGAGGCTATTCCAAATGGAATTTATTTTCCTGATTTCCTTCTCTTACTGTACTTCGTTGGTATACAGAAAAGCTACTGATCTTTGAGGGTTGATTTTTTTTTTTTTTTTTTGGTTGGTCGTGGAGCTTGAACTCTGGGCCTGGGTGCTGTCCCTGTGTTCTTCAGCTCAAGGCGAGCATTCTACCACCTGAGCCACAGTGCCACTTTTGGTTTTCTAGTGGTTTATTGGAGATGAATCTCACGGTCTTTCCTGCCCCGGGCTGGCTTTGAACCGTGATCCTCAGATCTCAGCCTCCTAAGTAGCTAGGATTATAGGCGTGAGCCACCAGTGCCCAGCCGTGGGTTGATTTTGTATCCTGCTTCTTTGCCAAAGTTATTAATCAGCTCTAGGAGCTTGGGGTAGATAATGTTGTCTAGCAAATTCTTTTTGGCCTGAGTTTTCATTTAAAACCTTTTCTACTTACCCTGATTCTTGAGACAGAATCTTACTAGATAGCCCAGACTAGCCTCAAACTAGTGATTGGTCCTCCTGCCTCAGTTCCCTAGTACTGAGCATGGCTACATATCTGGCTCAGATTCTAATATTCATAGGTCCACTTATATTGAACCAATGCTTGTCTCAGTTGTAGATGCCTTTTTAGTTACATATTGATATCAAACAAGTTACCTCCAAACTAACAGGTTAAAACAACAGTTTTCAGCGGGTCAAGAATTTAGGAATGTCTTTGCCATATGGCTGTGCCTTAGGGTTGCTTGAGGTTGCCATAAGGTGTCAGCTAGAGCCAGAAGATGTACTGTCTGGGTGCCTCAGGGTTACTGGGCTGTCCTCGTGACAGAGGGTTGGTTTCCCACCAAGAGGGTAATCCAAGAGAGAGCAAAGTGATGTCCTTCACAGCCTGGGCTGAGAAGTCTCACCGTTTCTCCAAATGACACTGGTTCCGTAGACCGCATGGGTTCGTTAGGGCCATGCGTACCAACAGGTGGGCTCATGGTGTCTGTTAGTCTGTGAGAGTATGGGTACCACAGAACTCTTCACTGAAGTCTAAAGGCAAAAAAGTGAGCTCTGAAAAGGTGTACCCAAGGAAGGGTGCAGCCTGTAGGACAAGCTGTGAGGAGCGGTAGTCTAGAAGAGTACTGCTCATGCTTTAGTTAGCTGTGCAGGCCTGCGAGCATTTGGTTTCCCACATTCATTTTGTTTATTCTCAATATTTTGTGGTATGTTTGAAATAGCTTGCTAAAAATAAAAGAATAGTTTATTATTGAGTGCTTACCTTGCAATTATATTATTTGCAAAATTGTATCCTTTATTCATAGTTTCGTTCTTGAGAGTATAAACTACCCCTGCTCGACAGTTGACTCGATTAAGCTTACAGGTTTGTGGGCACTGCCTGTACTAGCAAGGTGATGCGGGCAGAAAGAAAGGGAGTAGGGACTGGGCTCGTATTTGTCTGTATGTGTGTTTGGAACATGTAGCCATCATTCTGTAGGTACTTTTTTTTTTTTTTTTGGTCGGTCATGGGACTTGAACTCTGCGCCTGGGCGCTGTCCCTGTGCTCTTCAGTTCAAGGCGAGTGCTCTACCGCTTGAGCCACAGCACCACTTCCGGTTTTCTAGTGGTTTTTATTGGAGATAGAGTCTCATGGACTTTCCTGCCCGGGATGGCTTTGAACTGCGACCCCCAGATCTCAGCCTCCTGAGTAGCTAGGATTACAGGTGTGAGCCACCGTCACCCAGCTTCTGTAGGTACTTTTCCGTGTATGGTGGGGTCATCTTCCGCTAAACCTATTGTCAACTGGAAATCTACTTAGTGGCAAGTGCGCTGACTGCATCTAACTCGCTGAACAAACGGCATCACACTCAGCCCTCTAGCACTCTGTGGAGCTTGGTTTTCCCAGGACCTCAGACCTGCCTGGAAGCTGCGTTTACTGCCTCGGCTCAGCGTGGTGAGAGAGGACCCGATTCCAAGTGTAATGGGTATCGCTTTGACACCATCCCACGATAGAGGCATCATGAGTCAGCACTTGTCTTCCTTACCTAGATTTTAACACTTTCTCCGCTCCCTTTTTTGCATAAGATGCTGAGAGAGGAAAAACAGAGCAGAGAAGAAGTACCCTGGTCTAGGGATGGTGGCTGCTGTTCCTGGCAGAGTATTTTAGAAATACTTCTCAGAAGTATGCTAGTAGAAACCTGTAAGGATGTACGGTTGAGCCTGGTCAGGGAGAAGAGGGCTTGAGGGGGGAGTATGGAGCCTACGGGGACTGATGGGGGAGAGTCACCTCTAGAGATCGGGGTCTCAGAAGCCAAGGGAGAGCAGTGGTTCTGTCTCACGTGTGGGCAGGGCTGTCATTGCTGACCTTTGGTATGGGTTGGGAGAGGCAGGAGATGGAAGCAAGAAGAAGAGTAGGGATTTAGGGAATCTTGTTTAATGAGGTAGGTAAGGACTCACCCTAGTTGAGAGGCTGGGCCAGAGGTGGGTGGTAAGAGGCATCAGGACAGAGGCAGGTGGCCAAGGAGGGTGTGGGTCCACAAGTTGAATGTGCCCTGTGGAGCGGAGGTCTTGCTTGCAAACTTGGCTGGTGGTAAGGCCTTGATCCTGGCATCTCGGGCGTTGAGGGCCGTGATTTGGATGTAGTGGATGAGGTGGAAGTCAGGAGACAGATTCCTGCCTGGCTAAAATCATGAATGAATAAGCACTGGAATTAAGTTGCATGTGGGCCTTGGAATGCCCAGGCAGGGGTGGGGTAATGGTGGGGTCCTGGGAAGAGCACTGTTTTAGCGGAAGGGCCAGAGCGGGAGAAGGGCATCCTCTCCAGCCTGTCGCGGTGGGAGGTGGTGTTCACTGTATCTGGAAAGGCAGGTGGTAGATATTGGTCGGGGTTTTGCTGTCCAGCTAAAAGGCAAGAGGGCAAGAGAGGGAACAGACATATGACCCACTTAGGCAGCAGGAGGGCAGTTGGTGGAGGCCTTCGAAGGCTGTAGGGAAGTGGTCTACAGGGAGCGGAGGCTTTGGGGTGTGGGGATGGGTTACTGTGGTGGTTGGGTAGGTGGTTCAGCTATGTGGTGATGGTAATCAGCCAATATTAGCCTCCTGATGGCTTACCCTGCCAGGTGAGTTGTTTCTGCCCTTATTTCACACAGGAGAGGTAGAGATGACACCTTCACAAAACTTCTCAGTAAAGGAGCCAGTTCTGGAACATGGCCGGCATCTAAAATGTGCTAGTTAGTGCTCCTTCTCACTTGACAGATTTTCACAGGGTCTTGAAAATGTTGTGAAACATAACATTGTGAAAACCACCAGGACATCAGTGAAGGCTGTAGCCAAGTTCCAATGACATTCTGTTTATGATTACTGACCTTTGAATTTCCAGTCACTTTTTTGCACATCATAAAACATTCTGACTTAAAAACATTTTTTTATTGCTGGGCACCAGTGGCTCACACCTGTAATACTAACTACTCAGGAGGCTGAGATCTGAGGATTGCGGTTCAAACCCAGCCCGGGCAGGAGAGTCTGTGAGACTCTTATCTCCAATAAAACCACTAGAAAACCGGAAGTGGCGCTGTGGCTCAAGCAATAGAGCACTCGCCTTGAGCTGAAGAGCTCAGGGAACAGCGTTCAAGCCCCATGACCGATAAAAAAACCCCAAAACTTTTATTATCTTTTTTTCTTTTTTGGTTGGTCGTGGGGCTTGAACTCTGGGCTTGGGCGCTATCACTCAGCTCTTTAGCTCAAGGCGAGTTCTCTACTGCTTGAGCCACAGCGCCACTTCCGGTTTTCTAGTGGTTTATTGGAGATATGTGTCTTATGGACTTTCCTGCCCAGGCTGGCTTTGAACCGCAATCCTCAGATCTCAGCCTCCTGAGTAGCTAGGATTATAGGCATCAGCCACCAGCACCCGGCTCATTTTTATTACCTTAAGCTGTACAGAGGCATTGCCATTCAACAAGCAGTTTATGAACACAGCATGTCTTGATTAATGTCACCTCTTATCAGGATCCTCACCCAACCCTCCCCCTCCCCCACTTTTCTTAATTTTGTAGGATATATATTGATTTTTTTTCTTTTCTTTCCTCGATTTAACAGGTAGTGGCAGAGCACCCAGATGCCGCAGGCGAGGAGATTGAAGAACTGCTTGGATCCCAGTGGAACATGCTGAATGAAAAGCAGAAAGCACGCTATAACACCAAGTTTGCCCTAGTGACGTCTGCCCAGGGTGAAGAAGACGCTGGTAAACCTACCACTGTGCTGTGTTCTCTGCTTAGATAGATGTGTGGAAGGTAGCCACGTAGCAAACACGTAGCAAACACAGCTGGAGGAGTTGTGTAGAAGAGAACAGAAGGGAGCCGGGCAGCTTCGTAGCACTCTTAGCTTGGAGGGATAAATCAGGCCTGTATTCTGTGTCTGCTTCTGCTGTGCCCTCACGAGGGGCCGCCTCCACAAGTAAGGAGCTCAGCCTGGAGTGGCAGTGCCTGGTCTGATTACTTGAGAAGTGGTAGATTGATCTTCGGTTTGGGTATCTTTTTGTTCTTCCTAGGTTTTGAGTTAAAAAAAATACAAAAGTGCTGCTTTGCTTTGGGCAGTGGTGAGGTGAGTGACACAAGGCTGTAAGACTTGGAGAGGATGTGTGATAGTGATCAGTTGTGATTTCCGTGGGCTTGGACACACCATGTGTGGAAATCTGCCATTTTTTAATTTTAATTTTATTTTTTTTTGGTCTGTCATGGGGCCTGAACTCTGGGCCTGGGCGCTGTCCCTCAGCTCTTCAGCTAGGGCTAGTGTTCTACCACTTGAGCCACAGCACCACTTCCAGCTTTTTCTACTTATGTGGTACTGAGGAATCGAACCCCGGGCCTCATGCACGCGAGGCAAGCACTTTACCACTGAGCCACCTTCCCAGCCCGAAAACCACCATTTTAATCTAAGAGTAGGTACTAACAATGTGCTCGGGTAAGTGCTGGGTGCTGTGGCTCACGCCTATGACCCCAGCAACTCAGGAGGCAGAGATTAGAAAGATTGTGGTCTAGGTCAGCCTGGGAAAAAAACTAGAGAGGTTATTTGAAAGCTTAGAACAATGTCTGAGGGCATGACTCCAGTGATAGCGTGCCTGCCTGCCTGATGAGCGTTAAGACCTTGAGTTTAAATCCCAAGCCGCCACGGAAATAACAACAGCAATAGCTGTGTCTGGATTGTTTGAGTTTTGGAGTGGCCTAAGAATTAGAAGACATAGCTAGGAGGAAGGCAGAAGCCTGCACAGGAACCTTCCCCCTGCAGCACTCCATGTGGCGCACGCCCGGGGCCTGGTCTAGGACTTGCTGGATCTCCTCACCACCTCCTTAGATTAATCCTGAGTTCTGCTCAGACTCTCTGATCTAAAGTAGCATGAATGTTTAGGGTTCGTGGGTTTTTCTTTAAAGGCAAGGTCACCTCACCCTGCAGCAGTACACTAAATCTAGGAAGGCATTTCTTTTTAATGGTTGGTATATTTAAAGAAGAGCCGATCATTCCTGCAGCCAGGTCAGGTTCTCTGAAGAAAAAGTGTATTTGATTGTGGGTGTCACATTTTGCCGTTGATGCTAAGATGGGAAGCTGTCCTCACGCAGTAGATGCGAGTGTCCAGCTTTGGGGTGTTTTAGGTGTGTTTGGTTCTTGGATGGCCTTGACCCTGACCTTCTAGGCAGCCCTGGTGCTAATTCAGAGATCACTGCCAATTGTCAGGTCCATTCAGTGCTGGAAGCCCGATGTCCATGTTGCTTTCTTCTTTTCTTTTTCTTTTTTTTCTTTTTATCCCTCCTTCCCTCCCTCCCTCCCTCCCTTCCTTTTTTGTGCTGGTCTTGGGGCTTCTACTCAGGGCTTGGGCGCTGTTCCTCAGCTTTTTTGCTCAAAGAGTGGTGCTTTACCACTTGAGCCATAGCTCCACTTTCAGTTTTTTGGTGCTTAATTGGAGATGAGTCTCATGGACTTTCCTGCCCAGGCTGGCTTTGAACATGATATTGCTGAGTGGGCAGGGTTACAGGTGTGTGTCACTGGTGCCTGTTGCTTACGTCTGTGTGGACGCCTGGCGCCCCCCCCCCCAGGTGAAGGGGCGGTGCTCAGAACAGGGTATACCTTCGGAAAGGACTGAGAACTACTCTGTGGTGGGAAACCTGAGGCTCACCAGTAAATGGGAGCACAAAGCTAATGAGGGAAAACCAAGTGATGACATTCTCGTGAGTCTGCTGGGCTACTTGGTCCTGGTGCCTCGAGTGCAGGCTGAATGTCTGCTGTTGTCCTCTACTCTGCCGCCTCTTCCTGGGCTGGCTTTTTGAACCACAGTCCCCAGCCTCCTGAATAGCTAGGATGACAGGTGTGAGCCACCCACACCTGGCCAGGATTTGTTTAAAAAAAAAAATACTGCAGGTTCAAATTATCTCTAGAATTCGCACTTTTGTCTTCTATCTTTTTTTTTTTTTTTTTAGGTCAGTGCTATTTTTTTTTTTTTTGTGGGGTTAGAGGGTTTTTTGTTGTTGTTGTTGTTGTTTTTGGTCGTGGGGCTTGAACTCTGGGCCTGGGCACTATCCCTCAGCTCTTCAGCTCTAGGCTATCGCTCTACCACTTGAGCCACAGTGCCACCTGTGGCTTTCTAGTAGTTATTGGAGATGAGTCTCACAGACTTTCCTCCCGGGCTGGCTTTGAACCACGATCCTCAGATCTCAGCCTCCTGAGTAGCTAGGATTACAGGCATGAGCCACTGGTGCCAGCTTTTTCTGGGGTATTTCTAATTTATGGCAAGCCAAGGAAACACATAGGAACTCTTTTTTTGCCAGTCCTGGGTCTTGAACTCAGGGCCTGGGCACTGACCCTGAGCTTCTTTTGCTCAAAGCTAGCACTCTACCACTTGAACTACAGTGCCATTTCTGACTTTTCCTGTGATTAATTGGAGATAAGATTCTTATAGACTTTCCTCCTGTGGCTGGCATCAAACTGCAATCCTCAGATCTTAGCCTCCTAAGTAGCAAGGTTTACAGTGTGAGCCACCAGCACCGAGCTTTTTTTTTTTTTTTTGGTTTTTTGGTCCGTTGTGGGGCTTGAACTCTGGTCCTGGGCGCTGTCCCTCAGCTCTTCAGCTCAAGGCTAGCACTCTACCACTTGAGCCACAGAGCCACTTCTGGCTTTTTTCTTTTTGCTTATGTGGTGCTGAGGAATCGAACCCAGGGCCTCATGCATGCAACGCAAGCGCTCTACCACTGAGCCACCTTTCCAGCCCTTGATTTTTATTTTTTTCAAGAAAGGCTAACCCTGGCGCCAGTGGCTCACGCCTCTAATCCTAGCTATACTCAGGAGGCTGAGATCTCAGGATCATAGTTCAGAGCCAGCCCGGGCAGCAAAGTCTGTGAGACTTTATTTCCAATAAACCACCAGAAAACCAGAATGGTACAGTGGCTCAAATGGTCCAGTGCTCATCTTGAGCTGAAGAGCGGAGGGACAGTGCCTAGGCCCAGAGTTTAAGCCCCATGACCAAAAAAAAAAAAAAAAAGTATTGCTGTGGCCCTAGGAATGTGGCCTAGTGGTAGAATGCTTGTCTAGCATGCATAAAGCCCTGGGTTCAATTCCTTAGCACCATACACAGAAATGGTGCTGTGGTTCAAGTGCTTGAATGTTAGCCTTGAGCAAATAAAGCTCAGGGACAGTGCCCAGGCCCTGAGTTCAAGTCCTAGGCCTGGCAAAACAACAATAACAAAAAGCAAACAAGCAAGCAAGCAAGAAGGAGTATTGCTGTGTAGCCCATATTGGCTTCAAACTTGATCCTCCTGCCTCAGCCTCCCAATTGTTGGAGTAACCTACCAGCCTCAGCAGTAAATGATTCTTCAAAGCACTTATATTTAAATTCAATGCTATAGTACATCAAAATGAAAATGTAATAAATACCACCGTAATAATAACTAGATCAAAGTACTTTAGTCCCTAGTTTTTTACTGTGAAGAGGTTTGATCCAATAAACACAGGCCTGGAAATGAGCAGTGTGGCTACGTGTACAGTAACTGCGAGAAGCATTGGTAGTATACTGGAAGGCAGCACTGGCAGTGGTTTTCATGTATCTTCCCACCTCCACTCCTTATTTCCAGGTAACGTCAGTGGGAAAAAAAGAAATCACACAAAGAGGACAGAGGACCCTCCAGAAGATGTCGATGTGGACACACCCAGGAAAAGACTCAGGATAGACAAACACGGTCTTCGGAAGGTAATTGCTTTTGGTTTGCCTGCCCCATAAGAACACTTGCCATGTAATTCTTGTGACCCAGAAGTGAGGCAGACAGAGGCTCTGAGGCCCTTCCCAGGGTGCTGTAGTGTGAAGGCCCATTGATGAGGCTGCTGGAGAAAGCACACACTTACTACCCTCCTGATGATTCAGGACTGCAGACTCCACCTCTGCACATTACTGTTACAATTACAGTAAAAACCAGGGGCTGGGAAGGTGGCTCTGTGGTAGAGCGCTCGCCTGGCACGCATGAGGCCCTGGGTTCAATTCCTCAGCACCACATAAGCAAAAAAAAGTGGTGCTGTGGCTCAAGTGGTTGAGCACTAGCTTTGAGCTGAAGAGCTGAGGGACAGCGCCCAGGGCCAGAGTTCAAGCTCCACAACTGACCAACAAAAAAAATATTTAAAAATATTTTTAAAAAGTTATGCAAAGATAAGTGCTTCTCTTTGTTCTTAATCTTAAAAAAAAAAAGAATATAGCATCCAAATGTTTTGACATTCAGAATGGGTAAAATTAGGTTAGTAGGGTATAGCTCAGTAGAAGAGTGTTCTCTAGGCCCTACTTCAGTCCCCAATACTGGAAAAGAAAGTCTATAGGGCTTATAATGTGTAAATAATGAGGTAACATGAAAATCATATATATTTGAATACTTCAATAAAAATAGTTACAGAATTCATCAGAAACAGATTTTATGAACTAACTTTGTTAGTAATTCATGATCTTGTTTACTCACTGGGAATCTTGGGCAGATAGATTCAGCAGCACTGATGTCCCAAAAAAGGGACAGCTCAGAGCAAATACATGTGCAGCTCGAGACCTTAAGCCTGTTGTATATCCTCAGCATCTGACAGTTTGCCTAGTACCTGGAAGGGAATGTAGCTTACCAGGATTCATGTAGACAAAGAAACTGGATATTCTGTCTATCAGGTGATGCTCAGATATGTAGTAAATATGAGCCCTTTCCAAACACCATTTATTTCAGCTTTTTCAGATGTCTAGTTCACTTTTTTGCAAACTGAGAATTTAAATAGACTTTGTTCTTTGTATTTGAAGTTACTTTCAGAAATAGTGCCAAAAGATAGCTTGATGCTGTCTTTCACTGCTTTTAACTAAGTTGCCTTTGTTATTTTGTGTTAGTTTGAGGAATATAAAATAAATCTCACGTATTTATGTCTTGTTGCAGTATAACTATATGTACCACATCTGTGTATTTTTATTCTTTTATTCTTTTTTTTTTTTAATGTTGTTCCTGGAGTTTGAACTCAGGGTCTGGTCACTGTCCCTGAGCATTTTTTGCTCAGCTCCACTACTTGAGCCACAGTTTCACTTAACAGCTTATTTTGGAAGTTTCAGTCTTTCTTTTGAGGGCTGGTTTTGACTGCAATCCTCAGATCTCAGGCTCCTGAGGAGCTAGGATTACATTTGTGAACCTGGTTGTGTGTCTTACTTTTTCCTCGCTGTGTTTGTAGTTTAAGGTAACAGTTGACCCCTGCAGTATCTGCCTGGCCAACACAGTACTGTGGGGCCCTTGCCGTTGGTCACATCTACAGTGAATCAGTCAGTCGAGATTGAAGATAGCAGGAAATACTTTTTTTTTGGGGGGGGGCACTGTCCCTCAGCTCTTCAGCTCAAGGCTAGTGCTCTACCACTTGAGCCACAGAGCCACTTCTGGTTTTCTAGTGGTTAATTGGAGATAAGAGTCTCATGGACTTTACTGCCCAGTCTGGCTTTGAACCATGATCCTCAGATCTCAGCCTCCTGAGTGGCTAGGATGACAGGCATGAACCAGGCTGAAATTTTTTTTTTGTCGATTGTGGAGCTTGAACTCTGGGCTTGGGCACTGTCCCTCAGGTCTTCAGCTCAAGGCTAGTGATCTACCACTTGAGCCACAGCACCACTTCCAGCTTTTCCTACTTATGTGGTATTGAGGAATTGAACCCAGGGCCTCATGTATGCCAGGCAAGCACTCTACCACTGAGCCACCTTCCCAGCCCTGAAATTTATATAAAATCATTTCTATATATCTTTACCGAAAGCAACTTCTTGCTCAAAGTTAACACAGTTTATTCCTTCAAATAGCTTTCCTTTAGTGGGAAATTTCCCATTCACAGCCAGTATTTGAGCTTTTTTTTTTGTCAGTTGTGGGGCTTGAACTCTGGGCCTGGGTGCTGTCCCTCAGCTCTTCAGCTCAAGGCTAGCATTCTACCACGTGAGCCACCATGCCACTTTCAGCTTTTTCTGTTTTTGTGGTGCTGAGGAATCGAACCCAGGGCCTCATGCATGCAGGCTAACACTACCACTGAGCCGCCTTCCCAGCCCCACTTGAGCTTTTTTATAGCAAATAATTAGGCTTACTCCCAAGTCTATTAGCTAGACTCTCAATCTCTTTTTCTTTTATCAAATCTGAGATTTTTGAAACTTGAAGAGACAGATGGACTAATTTTTGTAGAGGGTTCTAAGCATCTACATTTTCTTTCCGTGACTTACTAGTGTTGATGGACTAATGAAAGACATCCTTGTAGTATTTGAAAAAATATATCTCTAAAAAATATGTGGCCTTAAATATTTGGAAGATTAAAGTTCACAGTATGTAGGTGGAAATGTTTTTATTAACAATTCAGAAAATAGTACACTATAAAAAAGAAAATTTGCCAGGTGCCAGTGTCTCATGCCTGTAATTCTGGCTACTCAGGAGGCTGAATTCTGAGGATCATGGTTCAAAGCCAACCCAGGCAAGAATAACCATGAGACTTTTTTTTTTTTTTTGGGTTGTGGGGCCTGAACTCTGGGCCTGGGCGCTGTTTCCTCAGCTCTTCAGCTCAAAGCAAGCACTCTACCACTTGAGCCACAGTGCCACCTCTAGCTTTTTCTGCTCATGTGGTGCTGAGGAATCGAACCCAGGGCCTCATGTATGTAAGGCAAGCATTCTACCACTGAGCTACCTTCCCAGCCCCCTTGAGACTCTTCTCTCCAATCATCCACTAGAAAACTGGAAGTGGCCCTGTGGATCAAGATCAAGTGGGAGAGCGCTTACCCTTCCCTTTCTTCTCTTTCCCTTCTTTCCTTTCTTTTCCTGTTCACAGTTGTGAGAGAAAAAAAAAAAATTGGGGTGGGGGGAGGAAGGGAGGTCAGTCCTGGGGCTTGAACTCAGTCCTGGGGCTTGAACTCAGGGCCTGTGCACTGTCCCTGGGCTGCTTTTGCTCAAGGCTAGCACCCTACCACTTGAGCCTGAGCCACAGTGCCATTTCCAGCCTTTTCTGTTTATGTAGTACTGAGGAATCGAACCCAGGGCTTCATGCATTCTAGACAAGCACTCTACCACTAAGCCTCCTTCCCAGCCAGAGAAATCAAAAGTAAAGACTCACTGGGTATGAGTTTTTATTTGGCTTGCTCACAGCCTAGTGTGTTTTGTTTTGTTTTTAATTTTTATATTTCTGGGCTGGGAAGGTGTCTCAGTGGTAGAGCGCTTGCCTCACATGGGTGAGGCCCTAGGTTAGATTCCTCAGTACCACATAAACAGAAAAAGTGGGAAGTGGCTCAAGTGGTAGAGCGCTAGCCTTGAGCAGAAGAGCTCAGGGACAGCACCCAGGCCTAGAGTTCAAGACCTACAGCTAATCGCCCCCAAAAAATTCTATCTCTATTTCTACTTTTTCTTTCTTTTTTATTTTTTGTTAGGTGTTGGTGGGTCATGCTGGTAATTCCAGCTACTCAAGAGGCTGAGATCTGAGGATCATGGTTTAAAGTCATTCAGAGCAGGAAAAGTCCGTGAGATACTTATCTACAGTTAACCATCAGAAAGCTGGAAGAGGCGCTATGGCTCAAGTGGTAAAGAGTTAGCCTTGAGCCAAAAAGCTCAGAGAGAGTACGTAGTCCCTAAGTTCAAGCTTGAGGACTGGCACACACACAAATGATCAGCCCATCGTGTGAAAAAATCCAGAGGTTAGGCAGCTGGGCCACTTGCATGTGCAGATGTAGCAGGAAATTTTTTTTTTGCGTCCGGTCGTGGGGCCTGAACTCTGGGACTGGGCGCTGCCCCTCAGCTCTTCAGCTCAAGGCTAGCACTCTACCACTTGAGCCACAGCGCCACTTTCAGCTTTTTTCTTTTTGCTTATGTGGTGCTGAGGAATATAACCCAGGGCCTCATGCATGCAAGGCAAGCGCTCTACCACTGAGACGCCTTCCCAGCCCGTGTAGCAGGAAATTTTGTGGTGAGAAATTTCAGAAATTCTGTCCTTTCATATTAGAAGAATGTTTTTCTTTGTTTTCTTTATTCTTTTCTCCCTCTCTGTCCCCATTTAATAACAGAGAGAGACGATCTCCGACAAAACAGCCAGAGCAAGCTCTTACAAGGCCATGGAGGCAGCCGCCTCCTTGAAGAGCCAGGCAGGTACGTGTGTCAGAGTCTTCCTTGCTGACTATGGGGGCTCCGGCTGATAGGGGAGCAGGCGCAGTCCAGGCCTTAGGGAGAAAGGATAAAGGAGAGCCGAGCTGGAGGAGAGGAAACAGCAGTGCAGCTGGAGCCAAGGACAGGGAAAGAAGGGCTTATGGAACATGAAAATCGCAAGGATTCAGTTAAATTTAATTAAATTACTATCGATTTTTGTTGTTTTCAACTTGAAATTTCACTACAGAGTGATGAAATCCCTAACAGGGCTCTTACGTGAGGGCACCAGTTGTCACTATAAATTCCACCTGACTTTAGGACCCTGGTGTTCTACACTGACGGCTAAAAGTAATGACTAGTTGTTTCTGTCTCACTTGTCAAAAAGACTAGCTTAAAACATGAAAAATAGCTATTCAAAGAATAAAAGGTGTCATCACACCCTTTGACCTTTTCATGAATTACCGTGTTGAAATCCACTGATGATTTATCAGAGGAAGCTGGCATATCCTTAAAGGAAAATGAACACAGATGAGGGATACTGGAGTGAAAAGTAGGAGGGAGTGCTCTGCTCCCCTCATTGCATGAGGTGCTCTGCTGGTTTTTAGAAATCAGCTAATTTTTTCAGATTATCAATTTAAATACTGAACTGATTATACGAAAGAATTACATTTCTTAAAACTTTGTTTTAGAGTTTTGTGCTGAACTTCTTTATGGATGAAATCTTTCTGGAATTTTCCTCAGCATAATCCATCAGGGGATATGAAACCCAGTGTGGATTGGTCTATGTGCATGGAGCCTGGGTTGATGGTTTGGGGAGCCAGGTGACAGAGATAAAAAATGACATTCTTAGTATGAAAGAGGAACCTAGAATATTCATCTTTTGCTCTTATTTGAGAGGCAATTTAAATCAGTAAATGGGTTGAGGGTTTACCACTTCAAACTTTACTTTATAAAACAAAATTATTTTCCAGCAACGAAAAATCTGTCTGATGCATGCAAACCACTGAAGAAGCGACATCGGGCTCCCGCAGCAACGTCTTCAGCTCTTGGGTTTAACAAAAGTTCATCTCCTTCTGCATCCTTAACTGAGAATGAGGTAAACTAATGATAATGATACCATGGCATTTCTGTGAAGGCCATTAGTGACCAAACTTGCAGTGTGAGTGAAGAACAGACATAAGAAGCATCGCATTGGTATCCACATAGGGGTAGATGAGTTTTAGGTCTTCCTGTCCAAAGTTTATCAATAGGGACAAGTAGCACACCCATTTGTGTGTTTGAGCACATTGAATATAAATACATGCACACGTCGAATGCGCAAATGTACGTGTGTCCTTCAGTCTTGATGGAGATGAATTGTTTAATCAGCCTGTTGTAAAGTAGTCTTGTCTGTAAGCCCACACACTGTATTTTCTCACAGCAAAGGAAGCCTGTACCGCTTCTGACACATCCCACCACAGTGGTTGTGCTGATACTGCTCAACCATACATCCTCACTGGGTGGGATGAAGGGCTCATGGGTGCGCGGAGAAGCCAAAGGTTTCTTCATCTTCTTCCATTCAAGTTTGATTCGTTTGAGTTCTGGCATGTCTCAGATTCCTGACGATGGAGTCAGGTCAGAGAGCTGCCATTCCCTACCCTGTGTGGGTTCTGGACTTGGGAGTGCTACATCGTAGAGGAGAATAGCAGAGAAGTTGTTACTGTCATCTAGATTAGATGGCCTTTCCCAGTCTCCTGCCATCACCAAAAACAGCACAGACTGGCCACAAAAGACAGGATTGAGGGTTTTTTTGTTTGTTTAGAAGTAGTTGGGTTTCATAATTTTAGTGACTGTTCATGGAGCTTATTTAAAAATTCTCTATTTTGATACTGGTGATTGTTTTTCTCATTGTAGACTGAGGTTCTGTTTTTCTATATTTGGAAGGAAGTGATAGCCTTGGCCTTTATTGGAACAGGTTAGTGAGGCGGGGACTGAAAAGTCCCTCTTTTAGCTATTGGGGCAGAGGCAGCACTTCTGGTGTGGCCTCTGCTATGGTTTTCTCGTTGAAGAAGACTGAGCCTTCCAGTAACGTGAGGACTAGGGACCTGGGCTGTCTGGTGGGGTGTATGGAGAACTCAGTAGATCTGAATCCAATGACAGTGTAAACATAGACTGCCCCTTCCACGGGTCTTCCCATGACTGACTGGTCAGACTAATCACAGTGCTCACACATGAGGGACTGCAGCTTGCCTCAGTTGGTTTGTGTAGTTAAGCGTTTCTTACATTTGGAAAGACTCAGTTCTTCACTGAGCTTCTATCCAGAAGCTCCTGAAACACAAAAAGTCAAATTTTATATAAATTAGTTTTCCTTTTATCTTTCCTTGTCCAAGTGTTTCACATACTGGAAAGTTAAATGGAAGGTGATCTGCAGTTCCACCTACGAATATTAAAAATGATAAGTTTCTGTTCTTAGGCCCTTTCACTTAAGTTTGTGTTTTTATATTATATATATGTAGATATAGATCTAGATGTATATATTTATAGATATCTCTCTGTATAGATGTCTATAAGGTTTTGTGGGTGTGTGTTGCTGGGGTGGACCCAGGGCCTTGTGCATGCAGGCTAGACAAGTAATCTATCACCAAGCTGCATCCCTAGCCTTGTCAATTTTTTTTAATTGAATTTTTCTTGCCTCATATGTTGGTTCACTTACCTGGCTGAGGTCTGGTGCTCTTGCTGAAGAGAGAGAGAGCGCACTGGGAAGGGCAGCACGTTCTTTCCAGTTGTTCCTAAGCATCAGTGTTGTGCACTGCACTGGGAGGGTGGGAGGGGGAGCAGAGGCCCAGGGGGCTCTGGCCAGGCTGGGCTCAGCAGAGGAAAGCACGTCATAATCACTGCACTTCATTGGTCTTAGCTCTGCACAACTTCAGAGACAGATAGGTGATGAAGTACATTGATACCATAGACGAAATACATTCAGTTCACAGATCTTCCTACATTTTGAAGGTGACAGATCCTACCTTGTGCATTCTGTTCTTCATTATTTAAGTTAGTAGGCCTTCTCCATTAGGCCATTTTTATGTGGCTTATATTAATCTTCCATTGGAGTTATTTTTACAGAATTTGACTGCTAATTAAAACATTTTAGGTGAAAGGATAGGTTTGTCTACTACTAGACTGCAGTGAGTGTTTACAGATGTACACGGCCAGGTGCCTCCTGACACAGCAGAGTGTGGTGTCACAAACTACCCTGGAGACTGCTGGTCCTGGTCTAGCCTGAGAGGGGCCGCGTGGGGCTCAGCTTGCCCCCGTGGGTCCCTTCCTTTGCATGTTTATAATTCCTTCTTTTTACCAAACTTGATTGAGAGAAATGAGGGTATTTTTGGAAAGATTGGTATTATAAGACATTGGAGGGCCTATTGTGGTTTAAATACTTTAAAAATGTCTGTGATAAATGAATTTACATTGGAATAATTATTACACGGTATTACATCACCCCATGACGAGACTAGATTAAAATGGCACACTTGCATGACAAAGGCCTGTGAAGGAATTAATGTGATTTAAGTGTTTTGTAACTTCATTTCTTGTTCCCTTAGTAGAGCAAATTCTTATTTTTTTCGCCTTCACTGGTAACAGCTTTTATGGGAGCCCACATCAGTCAAGTTGGACTTGAACTCAGCCGCCCTGTACCGCACTTAGAGTGATGTAATTCCCCAAGATGTCTGCTGCAGGTGGTGTATCATCGTACACACTAAGTGACATTTCTCTCACAATCATTTTATGGAAGATGTGTGATAATCTGTTTTTATTGGTATTAATAAACACATACAATGAAGAAAACAGATAACAAATTTTAAGACCAAGGTAAGATACCTAATCAAGGCCATTTAATCAATCACATTCATCTCATAACAGAAACACGTTCATATTCCAGTGATCAATGTAGATTTCAGGTGGAAAAGGAGGCCCTTCAATCCGTCGTCCCAGAGCTGTGACAGGACACCATATTGAAGGGGCACTCCTGTTAGAGGCCATTTTTCCTCTAGTTCATAACTTACCGAATTTTTATGGAGAAATGTCAGCATCTGTTCTTTCAGAAACAAAGAACAAACAGCACACATTTAGAAGGTCCTCCTCAACTATTCTCATTGCCAATGAAATGTATTCAATACTGTAGATATTAAACTAATTTCCAACATAAAAGGCAGGAAGAGTTTTGGATCTGTCCTTTTTTACTAAACACTTTTATTATGACACTAGACACAGTAAATTTTTAGGAAAAAAAAATACCATTTACAGTCTCGTGAGCCATTCGCTCTCGATCCGATGGCTGCTGCCTAGGGAGCGCCATGGCTGCTCATGCCCGCCGTAGCCGAGCGGCCTCTGTAGAGCACTGGCATCCCGTCTGAGTGTCGTGGCCGCAGGCGCCCTCCATGGCTGCCCAGGTGTCGCGGTTTGCATGGGAGGAAAGGCTCCACTCGCCTCTTCAGCTCGAGTCAGAGTTGTTGCCACACATGGGGCCACGCGAACTGTGCCTGGCTGCCCTCAACGCACTCCTCAGATGTGTGCTGCCTGTGTGAAAGTGTCCGTTCCAAGCATGTGAAACACTAGGGCGTCCAGCGCCTTTCAAGGACTCCATGGCTCTGTGTGACCGCGATGGTATAATAAAATAATAAAGTCATCATTCCATTTTTATCTAAAAGTATAAATGTTGCTTTGGCATGAAGAGTGATCCTCTTGATTACATCGTGCATGTGGAGACTAAATAAACCCAAAAGTGGAGGAGGCCTAGGTTTGTTTGTGTGACGTAGTAGGATTCTGGACTGTAGCTATGGGCTGGTGAGCTGTCCCACTGGCTCTGCTCAAATGTAGTGGGAGACGTGGTGGCAGACATGTCCTAGGAGCTAAGTTGCATTATTCCTAAAAGACACAAAAGAGAGAGTAGTAGGCCTTTTTAACATTCTCAGAAACACTAAAAAAGGGAGTGGGAGGGGGCATAAAAAAAACTGATGGCATATAAATGGCCCTGGTTCAGGCAGTCTCCCAAAAGCAAAAATGCCAACTTGAAATACGAAGGGATTTCACTTGAAATGACTGCATGACAAGTTTTGAGTGGATGGTGAAGCAAGGTGGTCAGCCACGTGTGCAGGTGCATCATGGGTCAGCCAGTGGGCAGGCATTTCCTCCTTGATGAGGGGGGTGAGGACTTCGAAATGGCCTGGTGGGGCTCACGCCATGCACGGAGCCCTCAGCCGAGCACAGGGGCATGGGTGGGGGCAGGAGTGGGGATTGTGCAGCATTCCTTGGTTGAGGGGAGGCACCACCCCACTCTGGGGGGGAATCGAGGTAGTGAGAGGGATAGTCCCCTGTGTGGCAAAGTTTGTGAGGGTGTAGGCCTCAGCCTCCCAAGGAGGGCATGTGGGCCAGGCAGCGGCTTGCTTGTCAAGAGCACAAACCTGCACTATGCTGCAGGAATTCCTTATTTCCTAAAGACGCCCGAATAGAACAGCCCATGTCTAGCCTCACAGCTGTTGAACTGATGGTGTGGCCATGCGGAGGAGTGTCCCGCGGCCCCCACTGACTTGGTTCAGGTCGTCTTCGTGTACCATGTTTGCCTGGAGAGCATAGGTAGCTCTCGTGTAAAACGCCAGGCATTCCAGAGAGGGAAGTGTGTCTGAGTGTGTAGCTACTGTAAAAGTGTGAGCCCTCTGCCACCCCAGAGCGAGCCTGGCACAGAGGCCTGAGCGCTGGGCCCCGAGACCCTGGCGCTGACGCTGCGCCTCCTCCCCACGGACGCCTGCCTCCCAGCAGCTTTTCTTCAGAGCTGACGAAAAGCGAGTGTCACTCTCCAATCGTGACACCTTTAGGTGTAGGTGCCACTCAAGACTCTAGTGCTCTTTTCATCTAGCTCCATCTGCGTTGCTAAGAGGATATTCCTGGAAACCAAGAAACCTAAGCAAAGCTTCACACCCAGGAAGCAAAGCTTTAAAGGACCTCACTTGGAGGGGCCCTGTGTGATGCAGGAGGGATCTGTCAGTCCCTTGCCTCTGAAGCAGGGAGCAGCTCACTTGTGTGGGAGGGAGGTCTTAGACTGCGGTCTGATTTCTGGGATTTTGTTGAAGTAATTCACACGGAAGCACAGGACAACTTAAGACAGGGTCCTCTGGGGTCAGAGGTCAGATGAGGCAGAGGGAGGTATCATTGATGGCAGAACATGCTAGAGAGAAGGCTGAAGAAAACAGCAAAACCAAAACACCTAATGGCAGATCAGTAACTCCCACGCCTCAGCCCACAGTTGGTTCTGGATGCCTGTGGGCATGGCCAGGTGATAGGTGGTGACTCTGCCACCTGCTGGTCTGTGGCAGAAATGCCCCACAAAGAAGAATTCAGATTCTGTCTTAGCATCCAGTTTTCCTTAAAACATATTACCTAATTGTGCACAACTAAAGTGGCTGAACCATGGGCTTGGTCAGGGCTTCACAGCGTGGTCAAGGGCAGTGCTGATCTGAGTTGCTGTCCATCCTCAAGTCCTTGTGTGCATCCTGTGCAGGCCCTTGCTTCCTTCCACCTGCATGAGCAGAGCTCTGGGTGAGCAATTCATTGCTGACCTCAGGGACCTGTGTGGGTCTGAGATGCCCACACGAAGGCCACATGAAGCCACAGTTCCTCTGTCTGTAGTGCAGGTGAGAAATGGGACTGTTGGGATGGGTTTAGCACGCTGGCTTCCTTTCTCGGTCCCAGTTCTGAGGATCTGCACTCTGTCCAGGCAGCCATTAGAGTGGCTGGCCAGTTCAGGTCCTGCTGTGAAGGTCAGCTTCTCTGCAAGACTCTGAAATGTGCAGCATATTATGCTTCTGAAAATCAATAGTTGAATTACCTCAGTTTTTAAAAATCTAAAAACAAAAAGTTGCAAAGGATTGCTGTTTATCTTTCAGATTAGAAGTCTAAATTGTCCTTTGCTGGAGAAACTGTATACCACTCCACAGAAGGGCTTTCCTAATATGCTTCTTACTGACGTCTATAAAGTTTTTTGGTTTTTGTTTTTAAGAAACATACTTGACTCCTGTCTATTTTAGGACTTTTGGAGACATGATACTGATTGTGATTTTTTTCAGGTATTGCTTTTATTGTTTTACCTAGAATAGTAGAAATTTCACTATAATTTGTCTGCTTGTGAAGAAAAATAGGCTGTCGTTAGCAGGAAAAAAAGTTGGGTTGGCATTCTTTTTCTTGCTTGTACAGGAAGGGTGAGAGACATACTCTGAGGGGCATTTTTACCAGCAAGGGTACCCCTGTAACAATATGACGGGCCTCATCTTGTCAGATTTCCATGTAACTGCGTGGTTCCATGCTAGGTCCATGTTTATAATTGTTTCTAGCCTACATAGTTATTGATTTTTTTTTGTGCACCTCTTTGGTGGGATTTTGAGCATGCTAATCATCTAGGGATAATCTGTTTTCAGAAAATAGAAATGAAATAGGGTGGGGTCCTGAACTGGCTGCTTAACTATGCCAGCCAGGCAGACTGGCAGTCTCCAAACCAAGACGTGGCCTGCTGCCGTGACCGGCCAGCCCAGGCCTTGGTGGGAGCAGTAGACGTGACCACCGTGCCCACAGCTGCCCTTACCCCTTGCTGTCCTCCTCAGGCTATTGGACTCCACAGAAGCCTCATAGATTTAGGTGAAGCACAACAACACTCCCTGGGCTAGAATGTGTGTGTGCGTGCGTGCGTGCGTGTGCGTGCACGCGCGCACTTCCGTGTGTTCTTGTAACTTCTGGCCCAACCTTACCCTAGCATTTAGGGGCAGCTGGGAAGCTTCTAGTTTTATGTAACCCAAAGGGTCATTTTAATTAAAAAAAAACTGAATTTTAGTAATTTTAGATGATGAATGACTTACTTTAAAATTATTTTAATTCCACTCTCAATATTTCACTGTGATGTTAACTTGGAAGACCTGTCTGAGATTAGTCCTTTTAATTTGAAGCTCATTATATCTGCTGAGCACAGGATTCTTGCCATCTGTAAACCCCGAACATTCTGTGAAATACTTCTAGTTATCATATTTTTCCTTTGCAAAAGCATAACTTAAAAAACAATTGTTGGTTTATAGAAATATTTATTGTTCAAGGTCTGTAATTGTATTTTTAAATGATGTAGTATTCAACTTGTGAAGGGATTTGTTTTGTCAAACCATTAAAAACGCGATGTGTGTAACAGCACGTGAACGGGGTGGGCTTCCTGGGGCAGCCATGGGGCGAGCCTCCTGGTGGCCACACTGCTCCTGGCAGGTGTTTGGAAGATGCCTGCTGGCCACATGTTGAGGTGAAGCCATCTTGAAAGCCCCTGAGGTAGATGGAGGAGGCTGCGTCCCCTGTCCCTGGAGCAGTGTATGTCTAAGGCAGATAGGTGACTCCGCACTGTCACATACTGAATAGAGGGAGAAAGTATTTTCAGACTCCAGGAAACTTTGGAAAGTCAGGAACTAAGCTGCTTGGAAATCAGTGCCACAAAATGTGGCCTTGGTGGACGCGGGAAGCGACAGGAAAGTTCTTGACAGTCTGTGTCCGGTCAGTCGCTACTTTTCTTTTTCCTAATTCGCCCTGTTGGATGTGGAGTAGATCATAGATGTCGTAGACTGAGATCTGGGACTGTGTTGGGACCGGCAGGTGATGTGTCACTCCCACAAATGGCATCTCCGAGTAAGCCTGCTGCCTGTTGCGCGTGGAGGTGGAGCCCACAGCTGGAATGAGGCGCACGCTTGGCTCTCCTTGCAGGTTGTTTGCTGAGCAGAGAGCCGAGGGACCCTCCTGACTGGCTGGGGGGCTGGAGGGTGAAGGTGGGGCCTGCTGCAATCCTGTCATGGACTGTGATATTGTAAGGTCTGTATTTTGTATGTGGATCTCAGATTCCATCAGGAAAAGAGCCTTATGTGTGTCATTAACATTTATATTTCCATTCAAAATCTGTATTCAGTGTTTTATTTCCTCAAAACAAACTTTGTTAATTTAGGAAATATCTCCAAGTGGAAACGTGCTAACTTTCTGTAAATCTTAAATAAAAGGTGCTGTTCCTTCCTCTGACCCAGGACTGGTTTGTGTTTTCTGTCTTTCTTTCCATACTTTTTCTTTTTTAAATTTGTTTTGGCCACAATAAGGGAAGCGCTGGGTTGGTGGATGGAGCATTTTGGCTCTCTTGCTTGGATCTGTGTGGAAGGCCCTCTCTTTGGGCTTTGGGCACCCATGGGCACTTCTCTCTGAGCAGGCCCTTGTGGCCACTGGCTGCTTCCTGATTCCCCAGTCGCCCAGTGCCCATTTGTTTGGTGCAGTAGCACTCCGACCCCACCTGTGACCCCATCTGTAATGGCTGGGCACTGCACCCAAGCATGTCCAATTGCCTCTCTCTGGATGTTGAGGTGGGGGGAGCTGATGGTCGAGGGTGGGCAGGGGGCCCCGTAGCCTCCTCGTGACACTGTTCTGCTCTGGCACCCTTCATGCTGTTTCCACCTGCCTGCACAAGGTGAGAGAACAGCCCAGAAGGCTGCTTGTCCCTCAGCCCCCATCCCTCGGTGCTCATGGAGCCTGCCCCACTCCACTGGAGCCATGGGAGCCTCTGGAAAGACAGCCCACTGTAACAGCGAGTTCCAGTCCCCAGACACCAAGGATTGTTCCTTCTCCCACTCCTTGTAACTTCAGTGAGCTAAATCAGAAGAGTGAGCTAAATCTTGGATGAGGCACAGGAGCGGTCATGTTCCTTTGTAGGGTTTGGCTTTGTTTCTCATTGTGGCCCAGTGTCAGGATCTAGCCTTGTGTACATCGGCAAACGGCAAATCCATGCCTAATCACGTGTGATTATTGAGGTGCACAAGAGGCAGTTTACACTTTCTTCTGTTACATCTCCAAAATTTAGTTTACGATCTTTATTTATCTAATGCCAAAATTAGTTTTTTTTTTAAAGGCCTGGATTAGGCCAGAAGGTTTTGTTATACTCCTTTGAATATCACTACTGCTTGTTGAGTGCGAGTCTTAACTAATGCTCTCTGAAGTGGAGAAGAGACCATGTCCTGTGGCCTTGGAGTCACCGGTCTGCTCACGGTCTGCACCTTAGCCTCCAGCGCTGGCCAGGGCAGGGAGCCTCTACAGGCATCCAGTCCTTATGCAAGTCTGGATGTCTGTCCTGACTCTTGGATCAGTGCTCCCACCAGTGTAGAAAAAACGTTTCCAGAAGAGCACACTTGGTATCTGGACTTGAACAGATTGGCTAAGAAAGTGCCAGAATGTTGATCTCAGAACCTGCCTTTGTTGATCTAGTAGAGAAAATTGGGCTTTCATAAGTTACTTCATTTTAGAGGAATATTCCTCATATCCATATGTGTACTTATTGAGTCGACTTGAAGTCCGTTTCTGAGTTCTCTACACAGCTCTGCTGACTATTCCCACCAAAGCCGGTGGGTGGTGTGCATCCCCAGTGCCACCCCAGGAGCCGGGGCTGGGGCAGGTGTGTAAAGGGCATGACCACCCACTGTTTTCTGTGGCTAGTGAACTGTCGTCCACCTCCTTCATCTCCAGGTCTCGGACAGCCCCGGAGACGAGCCCTCGGAATCTCCATATGAAAGCGCAGACGAAACACAGACCGAAGTGTCCACGTCATCTAAAAAGTCAGAACGAGGAGTAACCGCCAAAAAGGAGTACGTGTGTCAGGTGAGGGGCAGGCAGCGTCTGATCTGCCGGTGAGAGTGACCGGTGCCTGGGACAGCAGAGCATGCCACCCTTCCCTAGCTCCCGCCCCCCACCAGACCTGGCGTGGAAGGGATTGGCCAGAGGCACCCTCCAAGGGTGGCCCGGCACGTGTGCTGGGGTGGTGCGGTCTCCCTGAGCAGGCCAGCCACAGCCTGAGAGGTGACATGGCCTGGGTGGGTGTCCCTTCCCCACGCTCGTCCGCTGCACCTCAGTCTCAGCCCCTCCCCAGGCCCAGGAGGGAGAAGAGTCCAGACATCCTGTGGAAGTTGACTTGTCCACGTTTGAGAACTGGTCCATAGCTCAGGTCCTGTCACCTGTGGAACAGTGGGTCTCTGTTTTAAAAAAAAACAACACAACCAACATTGAAGGTTTTCTTGATTCTCAACTGATCTGAAATACGTGGAAGGTGACCTTGAAGGCTCCAGGCCCCTCTCTGTCACGCTCTGTCTGGCTCTGATCCTCTCCTCCCGGGTGTGGCAGTACAGGTGGCTGCATTTGGTGGTGTGCAGTAGAGTGGGGTTTTGCGTGTGAGACACAGAGCTGCGCGGTCCTTGTGGTCAGGAGGGTGGGAGAAGCCCGGCCAGGTGTGCTCAAGGCCCCTCTGGTCCCTACAGCTGTGTGAGAAGACGGGCAGCCTGCTGCTGTGCGAGGGCCCGTGCTGCGGCGCCTTCCACCTCTCCTGCCTCGGCCTGCCCCGGAGACCGGAAGGGAGGTTCACCTGCCGCGAGTGTGCCTCAGGCAAGTCCTGGCTCTGGAGGCTGGGGGTCCTGCGTCGTGTGCCCCCGCCGGCTCTGCCGTTACCTCTGTTTTCCTGGTGCCTGTCCAGCAAGTGTAGGCTTTACTGCTTGTTGAGTCATGCCCTTGCCTCTGAGCGGCCTGGCCTGAGCCTACAGGCAGGGCTGGGACTGTAGGTGTCTGTTGGGTTCGGAGGACACCACTCTCCTAGGAGAGTGGTGTGTCTCAGCCTGCGCTCAGGCCTCCCTGCGGGCTGGGGTCCCAGTGGAGGATGAGCTGCACCCTCTGCGGCCTCTGCTCCCAGCTGGCTCTGCCTGCAGCCACGTCAGGCCGGAGAGCCATGTGCCCGGCAGCCCTCAGCAGCCCCTCACCGGATGTCCTGGCGCCTGTGCCATAGCGCCTCTTCACCACACTTAGCGGCAACTTCCAGCAAAGAGAAGGAAGTTTTGTGGTGCAGAGAACTCCGCCTCTGCAAGCTCCTGCAGCTCGGCCCACAGCGGTGCAGTGACTTTGCTGTGTCTCGGGTGAAGCTGATGCTCAGGGCGAGAGGTAGCCCCAAGGCTGGCATTTTCTGAACAGCACCTGGGCCGCCCGCAAGGTCGGAGACAGCAGCGGCCTCTGCGCCGCACACGCCTCCTCCAGTCGCTCACCTCTCGCGGCAATTTAATCCTTTTTCTTTATACCTTCCTCTCTGCCCCTTTAACCTTGTGTTAGGGATTCACTCATGCTTCGTGTGTAAGGAGAGCAAGACAGAGGTGAAGCGCTGTGTTGTAACTCAGTGTGGGAAGTTTTACCACGAGGCCTGTGTGAAGCAGTACCCCCTCACCGTGTTTGAGAGCCGGGGCTTCCGGTGTCCGCTACACAGCTGCGTGAGCTGCCATGCCTCCAACCCGTCTAACCCTCGGCCTTCAAAAGGTAGGATGCGAGGAAGGGGGGCGGGGCTTGCTTACGTGAGTGTTGCCGGAGGCTGTGGTCCCTTGGCTGTCACCAGCAGCTCCTGTCTTTTTTCTGCTGACGTGGCACTAGTTTTTCTGGACCTGCACTTCGCTCTCTTCTTCCCTCCTCAAATGCCATCTTCAGGATGTGTGATTTTTAAAGAGGGGCTCTCTTTGAGCCATCTGCTTGGACTTGCTTTGTTTTGGCTTTTTTTTTTTTTTTTTTTGGTCGGTCGTGGGGCTTGAACTCTGGGCCTGGGCGCTGTCCCTCAGCTCTTCAGCTCAAGGAGAGTACTCTACTACTTGAGCTACAGCGCCACTTCCGGTTTTCTGGTGGTTTATTGGAGATAGGAGTCTCACGGTCTCTCCTGCCCGGGCTGGCT